TTTTCGAGCTATCCTGTTTAGCGACGTGCAAAAATCTAGTTGGATGAATTTTTCGCTACATTCTTCATGCGTTAATTCAATAATTTTTTAAATATAATACTAGACTAGTTATTTTTATTGATGATATCATCTTTTTCTGCGTGATATGACTTCGTACATTGATTAAGGTCTATTTTGAATCAAATTAAGACTTTTACACGCTACTGTAGAACATACAGTAGAAAGTAATTGAAGTTTCTGGGCTGCATAACGTGGATAACTCGATCTGATCGTAAAACTTAATGCATAATCGATTTCTTTTTGTTTTAATGTAGAAAGCAATGTTTCGGTTAGAAACAAAGATCATTAAATTAGCCCATGATGGTTATTGTCGAATTAAATTCACAGTATACGAAAGTGTTGATGTTATAAAATAAATACTTGATGTCGTAAAACGTACTATATATACCAGTTATAAATATATTTTATACGTTAAATTGTAATAGTTTAATGAACGAGGAAAGAAAGAATGAAATTAATTTTAGTAAATAATAATAAACTCCTGTATTACGATGATCACTATAATGTTCCGCGTTGTAAGCAGATAACATAATCGTTAAACGATATTGTGCTTCTGGAATTAAACCATTTATGGTGTGTTTTATCTCTTTTATTTTGAGAATCTTTGAAATTGGTATACCACTTTCTTCCTTATTTTCTTTCTTACATATATCGATACATGCATTATGAATTCCTTGCTAACTCGTTCCCTATTTTTAAGATTGGCTTCTACATTCTTAACGTTTAAAAATATTATATCAATTATAAATTAAATTAATTGTAAAATTAAAGCAAAATAAAACATACTCTATACACATAATAAATTTAATTATGTATATATGTATGTAGTATTATAATTAGTTTAAGTTTAATTTTTGCACGGAATACGCATTCAAAATTATACTCGAGTATCGAGAGAGAGGTTCTCTCGACGTGGCCTCGCGTCAACCCCCGCTGAGGGTCGTAGTGTTAAAGCAGTAGCGTGACTCCGCTCTGCCATCCCCTCTGCTCGATTGCCAGGGACAAACAAAAGCGTCTTGCGGTCTAGCAGCCAGGTTCCGTGACGATGCGGCACAGCCGCGAGACCACAGGACCACCCGATGTGCCGGGCATCCGAATTAATTATTTGTTTTAATATAAGATCCGCGGGGTGTGATTTAGTTGGCCGCCACGGGGCCAAGCGGACGGGTTGCGGGCATAAACAAGCCGGTCTGCAAGTTAAAACCGGCGAACAAAGTGCACGCCGATCGTCTCTTGCTCTGAAACGAGTCACTGGCCTCTAAAACGAGCGCAAGGTGATCGGGGTGCGAGAGGTTTAATGGTCCGAATATGGAATTATGGATCGAACCAAGATAAAGTTGGTGTGGAAGTCAATGGATCGGGTTTGATACGGTAAGATTGGCGAGTTGAAATAAGAAATTTAATTTCAATAATAATTTTAGATTCTCATGTAATTTCATGTACGTACTGAATTGACACGATTGAAAAATTGAGAAAATATCGATCGTAACGGTGAATTGGTCTTTGATTGTGTTTATGCTTGTTTGACGATCAATGGATTGAGAAATGTGCAAATAACATAGTTGCGATATCTACGATTTCATGTAGGATCGACATTCGACATGCATGGAAATATCGAAAATGGAAATCTTGGAAGATGTTTTGAAGATATTTTCAAGATTTCAAGTTTGATTTTATATCTTAGAATATCTTGTTTTAAAAATATTGATTGATGATAAATTATGGAACCGTAATAAATTATATTTTCTTTTCTAACGGTAAAATTTTTTGATATTTCGACGCGTAATTAACTCCTACGTTTTTTGTGCGACATCTTTTTATCTCTCAAGAACATGTTCAAGAATTTATACTTTATTATTAGTAAAATAATTTTTCTTTTATTATTTTTAATGATTGAATACGTTAAAAGAGACACTCATTTGCATATCTGGAATTTTATTCTGCTCTTTTTATCGAGATGTTGCAAAGGATTAATTTATGTAGAAAGTAGGAAGGTAAAAAGATATATTCCTTTAAATCATTCAACTGTTTCCTCTGCTATCTTTTTTTTTTTTTGTTTTTTTTTTTTTGTTTTCTTTATAAAGCACAAGGAAGAGACATAACTTGTTCCAGTTGCGTGACTTGTCCTGTGCGTTAAACTCGTTAGTAAAACTGTCTATGTAGCACACCTGTATCAAGAAATATTTGATGTCGGGATAAAAGATTTATTTCGAACCACCGATGACTGAAATTAGGACTTACTATAAAACCTGTCTGTCTGGATTTATCATGCAAAACTCAATAATAAACTTTAAAGCCTTCTTATTCAAATACAGCTTTCTTTCTTTTATAAAAATAAAATTCAATATTTTTCGTAATTCGTAAAAAAATTTTCCTTTTAAAAAAAGCATTCAGATTCTTCTATCTCTGCACATCATCAGCAAAAAAAAACAATTTTTTTTAACGTTTTTAAAGTTTTTTTTTTAATATTCCAATCTAACAAAAAAATTCCAAATGAAAATCCATATAATATAATAAATAATATTGAACACAAAGTTCAAGCATTAAATTCCGTTTTTTATGACTTCGTGAAATCGGCTATTTTATAAACTTCACATAATTTTAATCTTAATTCAAATATAATCCGTTTAACATAACTTCAACCGAATGCCCAGCCCTCAGATAGAATCGTTATCCAAGAAGATCAAACAGAGCTTTCTATCGCTCGATTCAAAAGCCAACGATGATGGTCGTCGACAATTACGAGTCAATTAATTAATTACGACGGACACACCGCCGGTTGATCGTACGCGAATATATTCCCGGGTCCAACTAGTCAAGACCATTAAGCGCGTTTATACTGAAAGCGTATAAATTCCACCCTATCGGACGATCGACGCTGAAATCGAGCATAAATAAACGGCAAACTGCCTCACCAGCTGTCCAGCACGACGCGTTAAAAGGCGCTCGTAAATCTCCCACGTAGCTGTCAATAATGTAATTAGCATAAGAAACGTGGACTCTTATCCGCGGACACGATACTCGCTAATACTTATTGGCATTTTTATATTAATGAATATTAATCGTTCTTATATGCGTGACGATCTGATTGCGATATTGCATCTCGATCACTTTTACAATATGATGTAAATCTTCGTTCTGACGGCGGAATTGTTTCACATTTGAAAAGCGAAGGGAGAAAATTAGAGATTTATTAAGAAGGTGGAAGTTGTAAATGTAATTTAAGTTTCCAAATTTGTTGAAATAGTTATTAAATTAGTTATTAAAAGGATTTTCGAATTTTTATTTATATGATTATTAGTTTTTGTCTCAATTTTTTACGAATGTAACATATATGTAGAATATGCCTCACGTTGATGAATACTATTGTAATAATAAAACAATTTAAAATACTTCATTTTGTATAAATATTCCTATTTTTAAAAAAACCAAAAATGCTAATTAAATCTTGTAAAATCACTAAAAATATCCTCATCTATTTTTGTTCTTCATCTTTTGACTTTTGAAAACGAGAGATAAATACTACTTATCGCATAAGGTATCGATATCCTTGTTGAGAAACAACAGAAAAAGGGGGAGGACCTAAAATCAGAGTCGACCTCGGGTTGGGAAGCTCGTTAATGGAGGAAAGGTCGCGTGTAGAGGAGAGTAACGTTTAGAGCTATTGGCCAGCATCAGGAGGTCGGCAGCCCACTAATCACCGCTAATGTTAATATTATGCAGCGACCACAATGCTCTACGTGGAATCTCGATAAACCACAGGCGGATCTCGTCGAGATGCATGCATCGCTCGCATGCGAGCCCCTTGTTCCAGCTATGGTATATCCGTGATTCTTCTTCCTCTCATTCGGCTGTAACAGGATGGACTTGAATCATTCGACGCTTCCGTGTTTCAGTCAGCTTGAAAGAGTTTTTGTTTTCAGTTAATAATTGCAAGTTGCATAGAGATATATAATTTTGTTTTGACTGATTTCAAAATGGTAATTATTTAACTTTATGTGTTATGTTACTTTGAAGGAGATTAAAAATTTATCTCAACCAACAATCAAAGAAGAAATATTTATTTTTGTCATACTAATAAATCTTGAACTATAAGAGAATAATAAAATGATGGTTATTTACTTTTGTAATATTTCTGCTTCATATTTGAATAACTTTGAATAAGAGGATTAAAAATTTATAAACATTAAAAGAAGAAACGTTTATTTTTGTTATATTTATATCTCCTTAATTATGAAAGAATAATAAGATGAAATTATTTTATATACTTTGATTTTTGTAACACTGATATTTCTTTCTTAGATAAATCACTACAAAACGAAAATATTCCTACATCAAACTCTCTGTCATCAAATCCTACCAACATAATGCTCATTCTCATCATACCTTTGTAACTTTCCATCAAGTTTCGCGTGTACACTACCAACTCGAAGCGTAACTCTATTACATCTTCGTCTCGTTATCCGCGGGAAGAATAAAGGGAATCATGGCTTCCGCTTGTACGTTGAAACTCGGTTCATAGATCAGCTTGCGGTTTCTATAATTTGAGAGATTGAACGCCGCTTATACGCACCCGCATCCACGAAATCGCACTGCTCTTACAGAGAAGGGAGAAATTAATACCCAGGCGAAATTACCATTTATTTTCACGTCCCCGGCAATCAGGGAATGCGCGGCTAAATGTTAATGGATGACCACTGACAGCAAATTGAATACACGCATCGATTTCAAGGCGATACCCTGCGTGTATACCGCGACGTACCACTTGATCAACCGTTGACCTATCAACTCGTTCGTTCGTAGCGACATCGCCCGGACAGGAGATAGAATACACATTTCAAAGGAGACTTGTGGGACACCGTATTGCCACGGGTGGCCAATTAGAAATGCGCCAATAGCCGGGGTTGCGTTAGTGTGCGTGTGTGTCACCGTTCATTGACAAGGAGTGCAGGTTTTATTCGTTCGATGAGATATCGCGAATGATCACGCGATTACCGTCTAAAAGGTAATAATAGCGTGCTGCCCGTCACACGTAATCGTGCAAACGTATAATGTTAATTACGCAGTACAGGAGATTAATTCGATTCGCGGTTGCCTTTTCAGTGTGGGAAACAGCAGGCAGAGTGTAATGGCTGCGCGAAGGTGCATCCTTCGTTAAAGATTATCCTGCCTGTTATAGTTTTAATGTGTCTTTTTTGGAATCGTATTTGTGGGAAAAGAAAATGCAAATTGGAATATTTGGATATTCAAGATAGATAATCTGCAAGTAAGTCTAAGATAAAATATTTGTATATTTGAGGTTAGGTTAAGTTAGTTGGCTTTTAGGATATTGTATAAAGGATTTTCTTGAAAAATAATATGTATTTGTATATTTGAGTTATTATTTCTGATAGATCCAATAAAAATAGATCATATTTAGGATGTATCTATAAATATCAATAATCTTAGAAAGAAAGTTGCTTGTACATTGTTTCTTTCCAAGCTTATACTAATAATAATTGATCATTCTGTTTTTATTTATGCTGTAATTATTGTCTTAGATTATTTGGCAGATTGAATAATTGAAAATTTTTTATCTCACAAGACATCTAAAGTATAATATTTGGATATTTAAAAGAATAGCTTGTTTAGTAATTTGCTTAGCTTTATAAACTATTTTATAAAGCTAAAATGTTCTTAAAAAGAATATAATACAATATAATTCTGATTTATTGCTTTTAATAATATCAATGCAAAAATAAACATTCATATTTAGCATAATATAATTGTACCAAAATATCACATGATTTTGTAAATATCAATTGTTTTTGCATTGTCTTTTTTCAGATTTGTATATAATAATTGATCATTTTGTGTTCCTTTATATTATAATTATTGTTCCAAATTATTAATTACATTAACAATTTCTTATTTCATAAGGCATTTTTAATAAAAAATGTACATGAATATTTGAGTGCTTTATTTTTAATATATAAAGTTATAATTTTCTTTGAAAGAATGTAAATTTGATTTATTATTTCTGATATATAGATTCAATACAAAAATAGACAATATTTAAACAATATTTAGTCAGATATATCTCATCTATAAATATCATTAAACAAAATAAGGAAATACTTTCCTTATAGTTGTTTCTGTATTGTCCCTTTTCAGCATTATAATAATTTATTATTTCATGTTTACACTTACAAGATTTAATAATTGAAATTTTTTTATGAAAATCCTGTTCTCATCTACAATTTTTTCTTCAATTCAATCTGCTGAAGAGAATATACCACCAATTTGTCGCCTTTCTAAAACATCTAATCAACACCCAGTGTTATTTTCTATAGATGTTGAAACATACGTGTGTCTGAATCTGTCAACAAAGAATATCAAAGAGACAGCCATCAACTAGTACAACCGAATACAATTAGTCATTTGTAATCACACGACACGCTTCAAAAACATGTTCGTATAATACAATATGCTCGCTGTTCCTCTTATACGCAGGAATTACGTTTCACAATATTCTCTCGAGTTAAACTGTCTGTTGCGACACATCCTCGCCTGAAATATATTCTCCGTAATATTAATTTATCGTACGTAGCGGGCACCTACCGAAACAAGAACGAGTAGCAGCTCTGTTGCAATGGAGAAGATAAATTGAGACTCGCGAAAAGATTCAAACTTATACCGTTCCAAGATAGCATTGTGATGTGTAATAAGAAATTTGACATCAAAGGAAATTGCAAAGGATCTTACAAACGTCATCATTGCACTTCAACTCTTGTTTGTTTGTTGGATACCTGTTTTGTGTATACCTGAACACATGTGTCAGAGAATGTCTGAAAGAGATCTCTTCGTCTACGTGAATAATTTCTTCTGGGATCTAAGAATATTCTTCACGTTGATACATCGTGGAATTCTATTTGAAAACACGATTATTGAAATTCGTTGATTGGCAATAATGCATTGTGCATGTTTGGTATTCAAATTTAAATTTTTTAAAAATTCTTCCAATATCATTTCTTCTCATGATTAGTTTGTGCAAGGCTTAAGAAGTAAATTAATAATTTCAGATTTTTTTTCATAAAAGTATTATTGAAGTGAATGCGTTCAGTTATTTTCTTGATTAATAAATATTTAGTATGGCGTAGGGACGAAATATCATTAATGAGACTGTGAACAATTTCTTTGATAAATATCTTTAAAAAAAACATTCTATTTTACTTAATGATATAACTTCGTGATATTAAATTATGCTGAAAGCAAAAAAATAATTCGTGAGAATGGAATTTTAAATATTTTTTCATCTTTTTAACAACGTTAGGATGAAAATATGATAAATTGTATATAATGACAAACAGAGGAGTTATATATATATTTTTTTTTAAATTGCACCGCCTTAATTAATTAAAAAAATTATAAATAACGATTATTGTGAAATTTATTCATGTGGTAACAATCTCATGATGTATTAGTTAATGCTTGGTATCCAGCTTTGATTGATTTACTCGCAAATTTTCCCTTTAATAACATCTTACGCGAATTTAATCGCTATTTCATATACATTTAATTTCTGATTGCTCAAGATTCACTTTTCCAAGTATTTCTCCCTATCCATCATTGCAATTTCCCATGATTTCACTATTACGCCTCAATATCAAACATTTTAATTCATCGTCAAATATTCGCAACATCCTTTAATGGATCCATTATCCCTGTGACTAATGAACTAACCTCGACCATTTATCGTAAGAATAGCAGGTGATCCCCAGCGCCATCTATCGAGCCTGCTCGGCACGCCGATAAATCTAACCTCACCGATCGAACCGGTAGCCTCTTCGAGAGATCGTATCTTCATTTTCTACGTTTCGTCGGGAGAGAGAGAAACTGCCGAGAAGAACGGCATAATAAGAAACAAGAAGAAGTTACCGGTGACTACGAAGAAGTTCGGAGAACGCGCGCGTCTTAATTAAGGCGGCGCAATGACAAAGCGGCGCGCTTTTTCTCCGTGTCCCGGGCTGAACGTGAACGTCGTGCGTTTCTGTGCGCGCGGAAAAAAGCGGGAGAGGGAAGATGGAGGGGCGCGTAGAGGTATTTCGGAATTGGGCTACCTTAATTGGGGGGGCGCTCGGTGGGGCACGGGGTGCGCTTTGTCAACGTGGCGCGGCGCTTCCGTATTCACGTGATCGGGGCGTGAATTCCGCGTATTTAAGTGTCCGCCACGGCGTGCTCGCTTTCTCCTGAACCCGGTGCTCGGGTAATGATCCCTTTGTCCGAGCCGAGTGAACGCGACTTTAAGTGAAAACGTCCATTCACCGAACGACAACGACGCTTTGCACCCTGAATATATTGCACCGATTGCGAGGGGAAGATAAGTACCGAAGACTGAGGTCCGTCGGAGCTTCTCTCTTCCGGCGACCAGTCTCAGAGGGCCACCTTTATTTCCACCTACCTCCACCTTCTCCACCTCCTGCACTCGTCCTCTTTCTTTCATTACTTTTCTCGTCTTTTCTCTTTGCTCTTCCTTCTTCTTCTTCTTCTTCTTCTTCTTCGCCGTTTTTCGTCACTCTCGTTTCTTTGCGAAGAAGAAAAGGAAGATCGCTCGAAATGGAAGGGGACAACGAGTTTATTCATCGAGCGTCGAAACGATGGAATACCGTCATAATAAGATCCCGAGGTTGGACGGTGGCGTTCAGTGGCACCACGACACGCGTTAAAAGCCGATTATTATTCCAGCCGCCGCGAGATCGCGCGCCACGCGGTTCTTCGATGGCGGACGAGTCACGTGGAAACCGTCAATTGAACGTGGAGAATGTATTATATGGTAAAATTGTATTTGCTTCTCGCATGGGGGGATCTTCAATTGATTGTATACGCATGATTCGTTCAAGGATTGTCTTTTGTCTCGAAAATTGGATGGAAAAGTGAATGAAGTGAAAAAGACGTCTCCTGTGTAACGCGATTTGAATGGAAAGTTTTTATCGATATGAAAGGGAAAATGTTTCTTGAAATGCTTTTATTGATTCCAGAATTTGTTCGATCGATACACGAATGGAAGATTGTTGGGAAATCGGATCCGTTCAGAGTGACGGGTGTTATGGACATAACACTTTCCTTGTCTTTCAACTTTTTCCTTTCAATATTTAGTGAAGTGCATACGGTCGAATCGAGTGGTCTTTTTATACGGTGAATTGATTTTACGAGAGTTCCGATTAAAGAATGCTTTGTGGGGGCAATAAAACGCTTCTCTTAACAAGTCGAATGTTTTCTGTTAATTAAAAAGTGGAATCATATGAAGGGAAAACGAATATCCTACTCATCCTCCTCGTATTATACATTCACTTTTATATAGTAAGAGATTTAACTTTTCCTTTTGATAACTTATTCCAAGATTTTTTTTTTTTTTAATACGAAGTGAAAATTCTTCTTTAAACATCAAACAAAACAAATTAAAAGAAGAAAAAAAAATTCATTATAAGATACAATTAATAAAATTATTAGACGGAGGTCAAGGATCACTTGACATAATTATTAATATCTAAAATAAAAAACCTCACGAAACCAACCGTTCTCACCACCGCGATAATGAAGTGATTTTCCTACTCCAGCAACCAACATTCCCAACTGCTCAATTTATTCACAACTGTTCACATTTCTCTCCCCCGCACATACCATTTCAACGATCCCGTTACCGCACACTGTACCCACTCCTAGAAGGCCGTGCAAAGTACGTGCAAAACGGCCGTGCAAAACAGATCCTTGAAACGACACACACCGATCTAACGGCGGTTACTCGACGTTATCAGGCCTCGACCAGACAAATATCGCGAGGAATTTCGTTCTTTTCACTTTTTTCCCCCCCCCTCCTCTTCTCCCTTCCCCCCTCCCGAGATAAAACTCGCCTAGATTTACTAACACACAGCGTTATCTCGCGCCGCTGTTTTTGCCGCGCATTAGCAAGAGTGTAACACCGGCCTGTCTTCCCAGCCAGGAAGCCAAGCACCAACGAGAGATCGATTCTCGACGTGTTTACGCGGACGCGGATAGGAAAAAAATTAATTAACACCCTCCCACGGGATAAGCGGCTTATGTTCAGATAATATTGGACGACCATCACTATTTAATAGACTGGTCGTGGTGGATCTAGGCGGGAACCTACGGGTGTAAATAAACGCCTGGCGAGTGGCTCTATTAATAGGATTCCAGAGTGGTTAGCAGCAGGCTGGAATGTTTTTTTTCTTTTTTTTTTTTTTTTTTCTCCCTGGAACCATAGATAGA